CGCTCACATATAACAACATAACTGTGGGTTATATGAAAGATTGATTACGTTCAATATCAAGTATTAAAAATGTAGTATGATCTTTTCTAAATATGCCCGCACCTTTCCGACGGAAGGCGGTGTATAGATATAAGTCTAACCATGATTGGGATGCTTATCTTTTTCTGATCTCACAAATTCATTTCCCCTTAACAATTAACATGCCGCGGTTTCAATTTATCGTGTTTATCGTCATACATCGTCACGTACGCATTGTTACGCATTGCTTATTTCCGGAAAAGGACGTATCGTGATAGTCGGTTTTCTATCACGATTTCCTTTTAAAGAGTGTTTTGATTTGTATATATAACCTAAGATAACATTTTCAAAAAAAAAAAAAAAAAAAAAAAGAAAAAAAAAAAAAAATTTTAAAGAACTCTCCAAATAGATAATAATGGTCGTGCACGAAAACGAAGTCTACTCTCAAGTCTCGGGCTATGTTTCTATAGCTTGTTGGATCGTTTTTACCCTTCCGTAAGGAAAACAGTAAATCTTTAAGAGAATATAGAACTTTTTTAAACATACTCAACAACGCTTGGCTTGGTCATTAGGCAACTTTACGAGAATTATAAACAAAAGTCAGGCGAGTCGTTATCGACTCTCCTCCTCTACATCTGGTTGGCTGGCGACTTTCTTAATTTGATAGGTTCCGTATTACAACACCTTCTGCCAACTATGGTAAATAGATTATAATATATGTACAACGTTATGCAACAGCGAAATCTGCAATATGATAATATGATGTAACGAATTCCCAAAATTCTTCCTTGAACAGATATTGTTGGCAGCTTACTTTAATATCGCGGATCTCGCTTTAATTTTTCAAGTTCACTATTACCGTAGACGCAACAGGCTTCGACACTACGAAGAAATCGTGGACACGGGTTGTCCAATCGGAGAGCAGACGTCCTTGCTCCGATCACATTCATCATCCCCTCCACCATCATCATTTCACTCTCGACTCCAAAAGTTTCTCGAGATATCGGTCGGAATAATTGGTGTTTGCTTGACCGGACTAATTGCCTATTACTTTTCTTCCATTTCGCAAGATGTTAAAAACAGTGACAACGTCATCCCCCTAATGTTTGCTCAAAAATATGAGGGACAGCATCTAGAAATTCTTCCTCAAATCTGTGGTTGGACTAGTACATCCCTTTATCGTAAGTTACTGTCGG